AATAGTAATAGTAGCAATAATACTGATAATACTAATAATATTAGTAATAATAATGATACTAATAATAACAATAACAATACTGATAATAATAATACTATTGATAATAATAGTAACAACAATAATAATACTACTACTAATAATAATAGTAATAATAATAATATTAATAATACTAATACTAATACTAATAGTAATAATAATAATAATAATAATAAGAAAAAAAGAGGGGAATGAGGAGGCGGCGGAGGAGGCGGAGGAGGCGGAGGAGGAGGAGGAGGCGGAGGAGGAGGAGGAGGAGGCGGAGGAGGAGGAGGAGCAGGAGGGGGAGGAGGAGAATGATGAGGAGGGGGAGGGGGAGAGTATGGGGCGGAGGAGGTGGGGTCGGGTGGGGTGGGGTGGGGTGGGTGGGGGGGCAGTAAGTGGAGGAGGAGGCAGCGCGCGGAGGTTGGAGGAGGATGAGGAGGAGTAGAAGAACGAGGAGGAGGAGGAGGAGGAGGAGGAGGAGGAGGAGGAATATAAGAAAAGGAACAAGGACAACAGCGTGCTCCGAGACGGCCGAAGATAACGTCGAAAAGATCCCCGAGCCCGCCAAGACTGTCCCAGCTAGCCTCCAGACGGTCCCAGACAGCTCAAGATGACCTCAAGACGGCCCCTGGAGGTGTCCATGTGGCTTCCAAGAGGCCCTCAGGATGCCCCAACCATTCGCAAACCTAAGGAACACCATACATTTCTGAGGGTCTCGCCTTTTCGCTCCGAGAGGCCGCTGAGGTATCAGGATACTCCGAGACTGGCCCTGTAGAAGCCAGAGTGAAGCCCAAGACGGTCGACTAGGACCCCCCAGACCCTTCCAGATGGCTCCGAGATGGCCGAAGGTGCCTTCGGGATGGCCCTCGAGACCGCCGAGACGCTCCCAGGTGCCCTTCAAACGGCCCCAGCCAGCTCCCGATTGTTCCAAGACGGCCCGCCACGCCCCCAAGTAGCTCCCATTACGCTTCATAAAGGACCCTAGGAGGCCAACATCATTCACTGCCGACGGCCCTTCCGAGCCCCCCACACGCAGCTGGCCTGATGTTCCCAGTCACCCCCGACGGCCTGTCCGAGCCCCTCCACCTAGCTGGCCTGATGTTCCTGAGGCTTTTCCCCGAACATGTGGTCGACGGCGCGACGACAATGTTATTAATTATGTTCGCGACGATCTTGATGCGAATGCTCGCGATGACACGCAGGGTTCGAATGGTGATAACGAGAATGGTGATGCTGTGAGGATGATGCTGATGATGATGGTGGTGATGATGACAGTGACGATGACAATGCTGATGGTGATGATGATGGTGATGGTGTGGGCAACGGTGTTGATGATGAGCATGCTAATGATGATGCTGGTGTTGATTATGGTGATGGTTACGATTATGATGATTATGATGCTGATTCTGGTGATGATGCTGATGCTGATGATGATGATGACCATCATCATCACCACCATCATCATCATTTCATGCTAGTAATCATGATCATGATCATGATCATGATGCTTCTGGTGATTATTATGATGGTGATGCTGCCCCCTTCTAAGTCAGCTCAACATGGCTCCCAGACAGCCCCACAAGGCTCACAAGAGGCTTCTAGGTGGCGATTATTCTGCTGATCATGATGGTGTTGATGCTGATGCTGCTGCTGCTGATGGTGGCGATGATAATGCTGATGATGCTGATGATGAACATTCGGAGGCTGATGAGTTGATGCGGATGACGATGATGATGATGATGATGATGATGATACTGATGATGATGATGATGTTGATGGTGATGGTGCTGACGGTGATGATGATGATGATACTGATGATGTTGATGATGGTGATGATGATCATACTAATCATGATGAGAATGGTGACGCTGATGATGAAGATGGCGGTGTTGGTGATGGTGGCGATGATGATGATGATGATGATGCTGCTGATGATGATGATGATTATGATGACGGTGATGACGATGATGACAGTGAGTATCACGGTGACGGTGATGCTGATGCTGCTGATGATGACTGTCATGGTGATGATACTGTTTTGGATGATTATTATGATGTTGATGATCATGATGAGGATCATATTGGTGATGATGGTGGTGATGATGATCATGATGCTGATGATCATGATGCTGCTGCTGCTGATGATGATGATGCTGCTGCTGCTGATGATGATGATGATGATGATGATTATGATGATGATGATGATGATGATGATGATGACGATGATGATGATGATGATGATGATGATGATAATGGTGATGATGATGATGATGATGATGATGATGATGATGATGATGCTGATGATGATGATGATGATGAGATGATGATGATGATGATGATGATGATGATGATGATGATGATGATGATGATGATGATGATGATGATGATGATGATGATGATTGATGATGATGATGATGATGATGATGATGATGATGATGATGATGATGATGATGATGATGATGATGATGATGATGATGATGATGATGATTTTGATGATGATGATGACCTTCTCCTCCTCCTCCGCCTCCTTCTCCGCCTCCTCCTCCTCCGTAGCCATTTTGGCTCAAGTCCGTAGCCAGAGGCTCAGCGACTTGAGGGTGGCAAGGGGGAGGTGCGCCCCCACCAGTGAACCCTGGGCCTGGCTCCAGGATGGCTTCTTCGAGAGGCTGAACAAGGCCGCGCTGATCGATGCCGTACTCGGCGCCTCAACGACACGTTTCTTTCTTTTTTCCAGTGAGCTTCTGTCGGAGCCCATGAGCGGCAAGGGTGGCGCGAAAGGTTTCCTTAGATGTTCGAGTTGCCGCTGCCGCTGGAACTGGGGGACTTGCGCGCAGTGCTCCATGTCCGACTCCTCGCTGGTCCCGCCCCCCTGGCGTGAGGCCAAAGGTGTGTGGGCGCCGGGCGCGGGCAGTGGTGGAGGGCAGCAGCTTCCTGCGCAGCCGCCTGGCTCCTGGGCCCCTGCTCGCCTCGAGGCGCCCAGGAGCTCCACGCCCCCCAGCGCGGGGCTGCCAAGCAGTCGGCGTTGGAGTTGTTGTCCCAGCTTCAGGAGCAGGTTCGGCAGGATTCGGGGGCGCTTGGGCTCTTGGCGTTGGTGGCGGCCGCGGGCGCGGCCGAACCGACGCAGCATGCCAGGGCGCCGCTTCTGGAGGAGGCCATCAGCGCGAAGGGTGTGACTTGCAGGAGGGCGGGAAAGGCCCTGGATCAGGCGGTGGCCCAGCAGGACGAGGCGAAGCGCTGGCTGGCGGAGTGCGACCAGAGGGCGAAGGGCGCGGCCGTCCTGGCATTTCGAGCCAAGGCGGAGTGGCAAGCGGAGCTCAAGGCCGAGCGCCAGAATACCCGTGGGACAGCGCCTTGGTCACCGCCGCAGCAGGAGGCTGCGCAACGGCCGACGGTGTCTCAGATCAACCTGTCGCAGCTCCCGGGCGACGAGAGCCGCATGGGAGCGGTGGATATCGTGGATGGCGACATGCTGGATCTCAGTGAGCTGGATGCTGGCGAAAGGACATGCAGAAGTGGCTGGCGCGCAACGGCAGCATCGCGGCCGAGATCCAGAAGGCGGCGCTGGCAGCCAGTGGCCCTAGTGCGGACCATATACAGCAGCCCAGGACGGAGGCCCGCGACATGCGCCAGCGGTTGTCCGCCAAGAGAGCCGGCGCCCAGCATCGGCTGGGGCTGCCCCCGCGAATGCTGCTGCCGCTCCTGGCGGTGGGCCTGCAGAGTCATGGGCTGCAGCCGCAGCAGCGCCCGCTGCGGAAGCGCGGCCCAGCGAGCAGGGGCTGGCCGCGGCGGTGGATGCAGGCCACCACCAGGTTCGCTGGGGAGGTCGTGACATAATTTTGCGGGGCTGGCGGTCCCTGGGGAGCACGTGGAGAGGCAGGCCCTAAGGGGGGGCAGTGTTTCATCGATCGAGGCCGCAGACGTGCGGGTGGTCGATGCCTTCGATCTGGCCCAGCCTCCGCCCTGGGCTGCAGACGCGCGGGTGGGCGATGCCCCGGGGTGGAGCGGCCCTCCCCCATTCGCGCCTAGCCAGAACACGGGGCAGCATCAGGTCCTGAGGGGGCCCGTGGAGGGGCAGACCTCGAAGGGGGGCAGCGGGCCTTGGATCGAGGCCGCAGACGTGCGGGTGGTCGATGCCCTCAATCAGGTCCAGCCACCTCTCTGGGCTGCCGACGGGCAGGTGGTCGATGCCCCATCGAGGTGCGGCTCCCAAGGCGCGGCGGGGCGTGGTGTCATCGCCCCTGGGGAGCCCGTGGCGGAGAAGACCCTAAAGGGGGAAGGAGCAGGGTGTGGGATCGAGGCTGCAGACGCGCGGGTGGTCGAGGCCCTTGATCGCACCCTGCCTCGCCCCTGGGCCGCGGCTGTGCGGGCGGTCGAGGCCCAGTGCGGTGGAGGGCCCCTCTGTGCACCAGTTGCTGCAACATGGGATCTGCATCTAGCCAGCTATATCTGCACCTCCTGGCCGACAGCCCATAATTGTATGGAGTGGGCACGTGATGAACATCGCCCCCTCCTTTTCTTCTTGTTTTATGCATATATGTGTATATATATATATATATGTATGTGGTACTATACATACGTATATATACACATGCACATAAACAGATACATGCACACATACATATACATAGACATGTACATAAACATATCCAGATATACATTTATATCTATATACAAATATGAGTATTACATTATTAGTTCAGGGGCACAGGCTGGAATACCGACATATTCGGACGGCTCGCAGCTGGCGTCGCAAGGCGGGATGCGCCTCGTGGTTTGCGTCGGCCGCGAGAACAGGGCACGGGGCGCGAGAGACCTCTGGTGGCACGGCAGTACTATGCACTACTCATGTCGACAGATGCGAATTTTCGCTGGAGCGATGTACAGAGGCTCTGCATTATCAAAGTCATGGTTCCATTCACGGCCATGCCGCTCTAGGCTTGGCTGGGGTCAGCCTGAGCTTCCTGGGGGATCTCAGCGAGGTGGTTGCCGCGTGCGGCGGCCCGTTTGTCACTGGCGGTGATCGGAACATTGGCGCTGAGCAGTTGATTGGGTCCCAGTGGGTTGACCACCTCGGGGCCGCCGTGATTCGCCCGCCAGGCTCGACGTGCCACAGCACCTGCTATGGCTTTTTCGTGCTGAGTCGACGGCTGTACTACCGCATCCAGGACTGCCTGGAGATGCCAGGCGCGCCTGTGAGGCCGCACTCAGCGGTCACTTTGAAGCTGCGCCAAGTGGCTGGGCAGGCCAAGGCGTGGCAGCGTGTGGTGCCAAGGGGGTCCCCCCTTCCTCAGAATCATGAGGGGAAGGCCCGCTTCCGTTGTGTGCCAGGGCAGTCAGACATCCCCATTCGGATGGGAATGGGGCCGCTTGCTTCCCAGGCTGCCATGGATCAGTGGTTCGCAGAGGCCGGGGGGCCCCCTGGGCGTTTGCGCGGCCTGTCAGACCGCCAGTTTTTTTTTTTTTGTGTATATTTAAAAAGATGCGAGAAATAGTTTGTCCTTCCTTCTTTGTTCATCGCCGAAGGGTGCGCGCTCCAGCTCGCCCCGCTCGGGGACTCATGGGGGCAGGAGTTGCGCGGGCGCTCCCAACCTGAGACCCAGCGCGCGCTGTCGCTTCGTCGCGTCGCCTCGCCTTGCAGTTGATAAACGCCCGAGATGGGGGGCGAGAGGGCCAGCCTGTCGGGGCTCGCCAAGCCCTCGAGCGACCTCCTGAAGGAGACGGAAGACCCGCTCCTGGCGCCGTGCTCGATCGAGCAACTGTTTCAAGGGCTGGATGGGCCCATGCGATCCAACTTCGCAGATGTGATCCCGCGAGAGGTGGGCCGCAGAGTGCAGCGGGAGACGGCGGAAGGCCGAAAGAGATGGAGGTCGCGGGCTCAGTCGTCGGTCGGTCTGGGTGGCCGGGCGGCGCGCAGCTCCTCCGCTGCCTGTGCTGCCTGAGGGCCATGTGGGCCTGGGGGGCGCAGGGGGCCTTGGGCCGTTAGTGGGTCAGGCGGCCCTCGACTCCATTTGACCTGGCTGGATTTCAATCTGGACCAAGCCTGCTCGCGCAGCAGAGAGTTTGCCCAGCAGGTGGGCCTTTTAGCCCCTCGACAGCCTCGGGCGGGGATGCGTTGAGTCTGCGTTTGCTTTTCCAGCTTCCCGTCCGCCGGTGCAAGCCTGTGCAGGGTTTGTGTCGGCGTGGGGGCGGGGTCCCGTGATCGGACCGACGCGGCTGGTCGTAGTAGTATGTTTAAGCAAACCCGCGGGGGGGGTGGGACCCATTGGGCTCCCCCACCTTTGGGCTCGAGTATGTAGTCGTATGCGTCGCCGCCTGTGCGCGGCCTGGGAACGGGCAGTAGATGCAACTTTTCTCTTGGGGGCTCAGCTCCAGCGCGGCGTGCGGCAAGGGCGCTTGGGTCCACGGTGCCCTGAATGCGCGCGCTGGGTCGACATTGGGGCAGGAAGCAGCGACCCTGTTCATTTACCTGCGCAAGTTCTTTGGGCACATTGCGCGTGAAGAGCGGCTGGCGGCGGCCCGAGCCAGTTCTTCCCCATTGGCGCTGTTGCGTGCATGTTGCTGCCTGTGCAGAGTGGCGCGGCGAGTGTCGTGGCAAGGGGCGATCAGTCGCGGAATCCAGCCCGATGGCACAGTCATTGCGGGCTTTTCGGGGGCGACCACCTTTGCGCGTCTGCTGCTGCTCGGATCTCTGCGCAAGGCAGCGGTTGGCAGCCCCGCAGTCTGTGTCAATCGTGTGATCCATGACATCTCGCTCCATGCGGTTGGCGGGGGGCAGGTCATCGCCCGCGAGATGGCAGCCGCTTTTTTGTCCCTGACTTCGGACTTGCCGCGGGTAGGGCTACCGGTGGCAGTCAACAAGCTACACCGCACTCATATCCATACCCCTGGGTGGGTGTATGTGCGGCCGTTTTTGCGCTGTCATGTGCGCGCATGTGCGCGGCATGTGCCAGTCATGTGCCAGGCCTGTGCGGTCCTTCTTGGATGGACTTCCTACTGTGCACGTCGTGCCCGGGCATGTGCGGGGGCATGTGCGCTGTGTTCTGATATATCCATCATACGCACATGCACGCGCAGTCCGACGCACATGCGCGCGCATGCCTGCACATGCGGGAGGTGTTCGAGAATCGCAGATCTGTCATCGGCACATGCACGCACATGCGTGTGCAACCTCTCATCGGGAGGCCGCGCGGGCCCGCACATGCACGCACATGCGGTGAAGCGCGCGGGCGCACATGCGTGCACATCCCAATGCACATGCACGCTCATGCCCTAGGAGCTGTCTGGGACCCCTGTGCCTCCAATGCCTCCTGGCCTTCGCAGAGCTAACCTGGGGCGTGCCAGGGCTTCCTGAAAGAGTTTGTTGTGCGTTTAGACTCGCCCGCTGCTGGCGGGGGCGGTTCTTCGCCCGGTTCGTGAGCTGGCGGTGGCGCGCCCGCCTAATAAAATACTCTCCCGCGCGCCTTCTCAGCTCGGCCGGAGAAGCAGGGATGGGGGGGGGGAGGTGGAGGGGGGGGGAGGAGGGGGGAGCGGAGGAGGCGGGCGCCCCCGGCTCGGCCGGCCCGCCTGCCTGTTCGGCTCGGCCAGAGGAGAAGGAGGAGGAGGAGGAGGAGGAGGAGGAGGAGGAGGAGGAGGAGGAGGAGGAGGAGGAGGAAAAGGAGGAGGAGGAGGAGGAGGAGGAGGAGGTGACATCTCTGCGGCATGCGACTATCGCCTGCGACATCTCTGCGGCATGTGCGGGCATGTGCGTCTATGCTTTCAGAGTTTTGCTTGTCCCTGCATTCGACTGTGCGTCGGACGGTGTGGCATGTGCGCGCATGTGCGGCAATGCTGTTGAGGCTTTTGTATATTTGCATGGGCATGTGCATGCGACTGTGCGGCATGTGCCTGCATGTGCGGCCCCTTCCGGACCACAGTTTCAAAGTGAGCACTATAAAAGTGAGCGCTGTAGAAGTGAGTCCGGTGTAGGCCTGCTCGCCTCCTCTGTCGAGCTTGCGGAGGAGGTCGCCCGTCGATGCAGCTTGCCAGTGTCGGTGCGAGCGCAAGTCCACAGGGGCTGGGGCGGCGATGCGACTGGCGGCGCCAGGGGGCGTGTCAGCACGCAGCGCGAGCGGTTTTGCGAGGCCCAGCAACAAGTTGCCAAAGTCCTCTCGCTGCGGGAGGCAGGGGCTCAGTGTGGCGTAGTCGTTAGGGCGGGAATCACCTCCAAGGCCTTGTGGGGGCCAACATGCAGGGGCCCCCCAATGGTGGTCTCAAGAGGATCCGAGTGGCGACGCCTGGGGCGGAAGGGAGGCCCCCGAAAGGATGCTCCCTCGAGTTGGCCTCCATGTGTGTTCGCGGTGGCTGGTTTCGAGACCCCCTAGTCATCGACGCGGCCGACGCCCTCCGCGCATATAGCCAGATCCTCGCTGACCAGCGCCTAACGCCTGTGGTGTTGCTGGTCCTTTTTTGCGCGCGGTCAGGAGCTGCTCCATTCGCTTCGGCCGTGGGTCCGAGTGGGGGGCCCTATCGCAGCCCTCGCTCTGACTTGTCAGTGGTATGGGCTTAGTTTTGTAGACCCTGGACCCTGCGTGAGGAAAAAAGGGAAGCGTGGGGCCTTCGCCAGGTTTCGCCAGCTCTGGTTGCTGGGCGAGCGCAGTTTGCGGCCAGGAGGTTCTCTGGCAGGGATGGCCTGGCTAAGGTTTGCCAAGGCAAGGGCTGGGGGGGGGGGATAATTTGTTTGGCGTCGGCTTAATGAGCTACTGCATCGTAGATGGAAGGCCTCACCTGATGGGGGCGGCGTGGGCACGGGCGGGCGGTGGGGGATCCGCGGGCAGCGAGTGCTCTGAGGCCTGGTCATTGGATCGCACTGGTGTCAAGCCAGGCCGCGCAAGCATGGCCCCCAGTTGCCAGCGCCCTGCCTCATTTGTGGTGAGGCCCAGGGGAGTTTGTTTCATCGCCATTTCCAGTGCCCAGCCCGTCATGGCTGGAGGCGGGATTTCCTTCCCCCAGACCTTGGGACGTCGGCGAGGCGGCTGTGCGTTGCCCCTGCCCATTTAGAAACGGCCTGCTAGAGGAATCTTGCTTGATCCGTGTCGTGTCTTCAAGTGGAATTCAAGGTTGAAAGTCAGGGGCCGCCTCTCGCCTTAGATGGTGGCCGCGTTTTCTGCGACGGCTCTGGGGTCCATGGGGGCGGTCTACGATCGCGAGGGCCGCCCGCTGGCGGGGTGGTTTGGCGCGGCCCCCCCGTCGGCTGGCGCCGGCCAGGTGGCTCGGGGCGGAGAGGGTTATGCAGCCCTCATTGCCTTTGCGCATTTAACAGACAAGTACGCGTTTCTACAGGCTTGCGCCACGTCCGCCGACCCCCTGTATTTCTTGTGATAGCAGCGCGAAATCGTCAAGCATCATATGTCGTTTTCTCTCGTCTTGCAATGTCTGGTCCCTGCAGCGCGGCATTCAATGCAGCTTGCCTTTCGTATGTAACCTTCGTTTAGGATGCAATATCTTATGCTAGCATTCAGTGTATCTTACCTTATGGTTGTCTTACTTTGAGATGCAAGGGGCTGGGCTCCAGCCCACCCGCGCCGCCCCTAAGGGGCCTGCCGGCCCGTGGGGCGTTTTCCCGCAATCGGGGAAGCACGCGAGACCTTCTGAGAGTTATCGGTGAAACTCTCACCACAATTTGGAAGACCTGGTCAGCTCCCCGTCAGGCGTTTTTTCCGCAATCGGGGAAGCGCGCAAGACCTTCTGAGAGTTGTCGGTTGAGCCCTCAGCGTTCGAGAGAACTGGGCGTCCCAAGTGGTCCCAAGACGGTTCAGGAGGACCCCGATACAGTCCACAATAACCCTGAATAGGCCCCAAGAGGACGGCCCAGAAGACCCAGGGCAAATAAAGAGTCATCGGTAACGCAGAAAGCTCATCACGCCAAGGCTCCCAACGGCGAAAGCGGGGAGAGACGGCTTTATCCCGATGCCGTCAAGACGGCCGAAGAGGGCCTTCTCTTGGCGGCCTGTTGGGGCTCTCTTGGCGGCCTCTAGGGGCTCTCTTGGGAAGCTCGTGGTGCTTTCTTAGGCCTCTCTCGGTGTCGTCTTGAGGCCCTCTCGGGCCGCCCTGGGGACTTCTTGGCCTGCCGCCAACGGGCTTCCAAGAGGTCCGCCCCCAAGAGGCCGAGGCGGAAGGGGCGGGGGGGGAAAGGGGGGATGGATGGGGAATGAGGCAGAGGGGGGGGAGGAGGAGGGGGAGGGAGGGGAGGAGGAGGAGGTGGAGGAGGAGG